CTTTTTTAGCATTTAATAAGAAAATTATGTGGAATTTTTTCAGAAGTATATGGTAGATTACATTAACAGATTTTCATATGTTAAAACACCCATACATCTCTGTGATGGAGCCTACTTGATCACTGTGGATGATCTTTTTGATGTGTTCTTGGATACAGTTTGCTAGTATTTAATGGAATATTTTGCATTAATGTTCATGAGAAAGATTGGCCTAGAATCTACTGACTGTACTTTTTTCTTTGAGAAACTTTAATGGAGAACTTCTGTTTCCTTAGGGGATATAGGGCTGTTTATATTGTTTATCTGACCTTGATTTTACTTTGGAAAGTGGTAAATAATGAGAAAATTATTCATTTCTTTTGGATTTTTCAGTGTTGTGGATTACAGGTTCTTAATGTGTGCCCTAGTGATGTCTTTGTTATCTTAGATGTCTGTTGTTATGTCCCACATTTCATTTCTAATTTTGATAATTTGTATATTCTCTGCCTGCCTTTTAGATAGTTTGGATGAGGTGGTGTAGCTGAAAGGTTTTCCCAGCCCAGCCCCATGAAACCCACAGCCACTTCTAAAATGATCACTTAAACTCAGCCCATATCCGTGAATCTTTTTGTTGCCATGTGCTCTGTGGCTTTACCTGTGTGCCATTACATGCTGCTTCCCGGAAATTCAGGCCGTCATCTCCTGACTCAACCTTCCTCTTCCCAGAATTATCCTTCTCTGCTTCTTCTGCCTGCCTGGCTACTGGCCAATCAGCATTTATTTATCAAACAATAGGAGCAACACATATTCACAGCTTAACGAACATCCCACAGCAAAGTAGTGTCCATTCTGTTGATTATCTCAAAGAATGAACTCTTCATTTTATTGATTCTTTGAATTATTTTCTTGGTTTCTCTGTTGTTGATTTCAGCCCTCAGTTAGATTTCCTGATGTCTTGGATGTGTTTGCTATTTTTTTTGTTCTAGATCGTTCAGGTGTGCTGTTAAGTTGCTAATATGAGATCTCTTTAATTTATATATGTAGGCACTTAAAGTTATGAAAAAAAAGTTGAAAAAAAATTCATGAGGTACTGAGAAGAGGGTTTATTCTTAAGTATTTGGGTGATATGTGATGTGGATAGCTATTATGTTCATTCGGGACACGATGTCTATAGGTCCAGTATTTCTCTGTTTACTTTCCTCCAACAAGACCACAGCAACCCAACAAGGCCACCCCTCCTAATAGCCCAATCCATTTCAGGCCATTGCCTTTCAAATCACCACATAAGTCTATTTTGTTTTGTAATAGAATGGATAACACAGATGCTTCTTACATCCATTTGCTTAGAAATGCTTTGGCCAGTGCTTTATTCTGAGATAATTAGGTGATGTTTACCGTCGATATTAGGGGTGTTTCTTGTATGCAACGGAAGGATGGGTGCTGTTTTCACACTATTCTGCTACTCTGGATCTTTTCATCGAGGAATTGTGTCCATTGATAATGAAAAAGATTAATGACCAATGATTGTTAATTCCTGATATTTTGGTGGTGGTAGGGGTAGTCTCTCTCTTTCTCTCTCTCTCTCTCACTCTCTCTCTCTCTCTCTCAATATATAGATATATATAATTCCTATGTATATGAGT